TTTACGGCATCGCTGTAAAATAGAAAAAAAAAAAAAAATTCTGTTAAATAAGATAAAATTTAGTACGATAAGAAACCATTCTTTATAGTGTAGCTAAGATCTAATGTTTGCTAATGTAGTTAAAATATTATTTTTAGATTTTCATGTTCATAAAGGGTTGAGGTTTTAATAATTTGGTGGACATCGCAAAAATATTACTTTTTCCACTTAAAATAAATACAAATAAAAAAATTTCAATATTCACCAAAAATCAGATAGATCAGACATTCTATCTAGGAAGATCATTGAAGATGAGTTATAAAATTTTAGTTGACACAAGGCAGGTTTTAATAATAATTGTTAAAAACAGAAAAGTGATACCAAATCTTAAGCAATTATTCATTTCATTTTTTTTTTAATTATGCAGTAGTAGTTAAGGTGCTCCCAGAATCTTTTACGGTTATACATCGCAGAGTGTAGCGGAGAAGCATTTAACATAAAAGTTTTACGCCACTTTCATAACCAATGTTAATTAAAGGGCTGAAGATGGCATTGAACCTGGGACCTTTGTACTCTGAGGCAGAACTCTAACCACTGCGCCACGTCTACGTTCAATATTTGACAACATTTTTATTCCATCAAGGAAATATAGATCTTTTGTAATTTTTTTTTCATTTGAAAATTAAAACGCGTATAGAAAATACTTATTTGTATTATAAAACAGTGAATATTTAAATTTTTTTTGAGAAACACGTTTTTTGATAACTTTGTGACGCTATTCCCAACTTTGCTTGAAACATCCGTGAATATGCGCGTATTCACGCTTATGAGTACGTAAAATGTTTAGTTTAGTTTTTTTTTAGTTTTGGTTTATTTTGCCGTTTAAAATATTTACAATGTACAACAATATAAAAAAGTTCGAATAGCCTTATCACCGAGCCCCAATAGTAACGCAAATAAATATCCGTAATATATAAGCAACAGCATTTTAAAAAAGACAATTTTAAGATGTTAGGAAATTAAAAAAAATAATAATAATAAAGGATTAAAATATAGTAATAAAAATGGCAAAATTTTTTGTTTTTGGTCATAAAGTGAACGTAATTCGATATATATATTTTATATATTTTTTCAAAATAATTTGAAATTAAAATGATAAAATTTTTGTTACAATATCATAAAATATATCCAAAAAAAACTGTAGGTAACTTCAAGAGTAAATATTTCCAATGATAGTAAAATTTATTGAGCAGCCGTGGCGCAGTGGTAGCGTACTTGCCTCAGAAACATAAGATCCGTGGTTCAAACCCCACCTCTGGGCAAGCTTTGCAACATCGGTTGGGAAGGAGGCGTGAACTTCCTATTAAATGCTCTTCCGCGATGCTCTGTGATAAGACCGTAAGGACTTCTTGAGGCACCTTAATCAACTTGAAAAAAATAATAATAATAATAACGGTAATGGTAATAATAATATGAACGGTACATCGGATTAACATAATTTTTTCACTATTAGAAAGACAATTTGATCTGCTAAAAAATGGTTGAGACAAAAAAACTTTTTTCGATTTGTTTTAGAAAATATAGTCTAAAGTTAATTAGGCTGCTCAACCGACCCCAGCGGGGTAAGTTGAGCAATTGCATGGGGTAAGTTGAGCAATAAAAAAATAAATGCATTTCTGTAAAAACTATTAACTCTGTTATAAAACCAAAACATAGCTTCCTTATAAATTAAATATATACTTTTAATTTTAACAAATTATTTAAGATATAAATTTCAAAACTAATAATTTTGATACTAAAATAAAAACAAAAACAAAACTTTTCAATCTTATAACTAAACACAACTTTTTTAAAACATTTTAAAACAAAACTTGTTAATATTATGATAAAATAATAACTTAACACTTTATGTTAGTCTTCATTTTGCAGTTAATACAAAAATAATTTTGACCAGAATTTGAATCACATATTGAATGAGACCATTTATTGCAACCTTGACACTAGATCCAAATTTTCTTCTGATAGACTTTCAAGTTTCCCAACATACAAGACAAGCATAATCGTGTTTTGCACTTGTCTTTAATTTTTTTGTCATCATAGTTTTTTTGTTTGATTGTTTTTTAACTTTTTAATATACTAAGTAGCAGAGTCTCCTTATTACCATGATCTGCAAAGGATTTACTGGCAGAACTTTTTTTTGGTTTCTTCAAAATTTCTTTCTTCTCAGTTTTTTTGTTTGTTTGAGTCTCTTTATTATCATACTCTTTATTAATATTTGAAAAGGAATTGACAGGTAGATAATTTTTTTTGTTTCTCAACTTTTTTAGGTTTCTTAGTTTGCTGCTGTTTTAATATAATTCTTTCTGGAATATCTGTTAGAATAGCAGCTTTCCTTTTTCTTCGTCTTGTCAAATGTATCTTTTTTGGTGCTGCTTTTGGGTAAGGTCGCACAGTTTCTGGAGAAAATGCTTTAGGAGTTTCAGGAATAAGTAACGTTGTCTCTTTATTAATACTACTTTTTAGAGATTGACCTGAAGACGATGTTAAACATACTTCAGAATGAGCTACATGTGATAGCTCAGAAACAAGATTTGCTGTTTCTATACAATCTGTGACAATTGATGGTAAAAAATCATCAGCAGCAAAAATGTTTGGATTGTACAGGTATACACCAGTTTTTTGAAAACTCTTTGTAATGTTAGTACACGTTATAGCTAATGGCAATGAATCAGATACAATTTTTGGTATATCATAAATTGTTATGGTTTTTCCAGGATTGTTTCTCAGCCATGCATCTTGTAAAACTGATAGGTACTTTTTAAAAGGTCCAAACACTGATACATCTTATGCAGCTTATGGCTGCAGTATGGCGGGAAAGGCAACATGACTATTCCATTCTCCCTTGCTAAGTTTAGTGTTTCAAAATGCAAGTGAAAAGAGTGATTATCCAAAATCAACAGAATTTTATATTCATTTGAAGGCTTCATATGCTTCATCAAATGCTGCATATAATTTTTGAATTCAATATCTGTAACCAAGCCACTTCCATTACCTACCTCAATACAGTCCAGTGGACCATTATTAACAAAATAATTTTTGTAATTTTTTCGAGGAAACACAAACATATTGGAGGTACTGTATTTCCTGAGGCAGATACAGCGGTTACCATTGTGACATAAGTGCCTCTTTCCCCAGATGTCATAGCACCAACATTTCTTTTGCCCTTTACAGCCACAATTTTACTAGGTTTTACAACTGTAGATACATAAGTTTCGTCAACGTTCCATATTTGTGAAGCACTGAATTTGTATACATCCGTAACTTCACCAAGCTTATCAAAAAATACTTTTACATTTGCAACGTTAAATAATGTTGCCCTACCAAGGCTAGTTGCTTCAGGTTTCCTTATTATAAGGAAACCTATAAGTTACTTATAGATAATTGAGGATTTCTTTTTAAAAAACTAGTCATCCACTCTTTACCAGCCATCTTATTTACTGTCCAAGAATCTGGTACTTTGATTTTGTGTTGAAGAGCACACTCATAAGCAAGAGATCGAACATCTTTGGGAGTATAGCCGTAAAATATAGATGTCATTTGCAATAAATATTTTTTTAAGGCGCTTTCTTGCTCTTGGGAAAAAATTAATCTAGGTTTTGAATAACCCATGGATGGGTAACCACCAGAGTTTAGTTTTAAAATATATATTGCTAATGTCATTCTCTTGATGTCAAATTCTTTAGCAGCTGCACAAACACTTTTTTTTCCTTCCAAAACAGAACTTGCTGCATCACTAAGCTGTTGGCTTGTATATAAGTATGTATATATAGCAACGTAAATTTTGTGTTGTACATAAAAAACAAAAACAAGTTTAATATAAATAGTATAAAACATTTTCAATGTAAATATAATATTATAATACTTATTATAAATTACATTACAGAGGATACCAATCATTAATAATCAACCAGTTTTTCTTTTGATTCTTTCAATGAACTCAGCTAAAGGTGTCATTTTAAAAAATCAACCAGTTTTTCCTTTTTGATACTTTCAATGAACTCTGCTAAGGGTGTCATCTTATTTTGAAGGCGGTAAAAAATGTTATAAGGGAAGCGCGAATTGAAAACTTTAATGTTACATTTTTATTCGTTAATATTAACCAATCGTAAAACAGCAAAGTTATCGTTTCGAACTTTACCGAGTTCGTTTACGAACTTCACCGAGTTTGGGGTGCACCGTGTACAGGTCCGCCAATTATTTATATATAGCTTAAATAATCAAAATAAAAATGAAATATCATATTTATATATGTTTTGATTATATATACTTTAAATTATATGTTTATATAATATAATAACGATGCTGATTGTATAGCATCGATACTGATGCATCGGCATCGGTATCGATGCTATACAATCAGCACCGAAAGTTGGATTCGGTGCACCCCTAACCAGGGCCGGCGCAAGTAGGTGTCACGTGGGGGGGGGGGGGGTTCATTACAATATTTGCCGACTAAAGCCAAAATTTGCCGACTACCTTGACGACATTTGCCGACTGTCTAAATTACCGACTAACCTGTATCGAAAGGGTCGACATTTGCCGACTAACTAGTCTAAAGGGTCCAATTTGCCGACTAAGGGTCCGATTTGCCGTCTAAAAATCATTGATGGGGGGATGTCACACCCCCACACACCCCTATCGCCCCTAATGTATATATTTACATATTTTATGCAAAATATATTCTGTATAATAAATACTTACATAATTTTAAGTACTTATTATACTTTTATCATATTATAAACTTAATAAACGGTTATAAACGCATATAAACGGTTATAAACGCATATAAACGGTTCTCCTTTATTAAAGGATAATAAAATAATTTTGGTGTTTAAAGGCTTTAAACAGGTTGCTGACACCAAAATTAATTTATTAAAATTAAAAAATAAAACGCATTTACGCCATTTAACTGCAGGATAACCCTTTATACCTTTGTTTTATAATGTAAAAACTAAATAAAAATTGTTTTTAATATTATTTTGATAAATAAATATGATTTTAAGTAAAAATTTTAATAAAAGAAAAAATGGAAGGTGTTCAAGCACATCATTTAAAAAAAGAAGTATGTTATAAAAGACCTATATATAGAGAAGCAAGATGGGAGAGAGCAATCAAGGTATTAAAAAACTGTTTTTATATTATTATGAAATTATTTATATGAAGTTATCAAATTATTTATTTGGGCTGTTTTAATAAGATAACTTGAAAATGATTTAAGTTGAAGTAATAATTGTAGTTTGATTCTGTTTTTTATATATATTACACTATAAATGTGATTTTCCTTATTGTTTAAGTTGTATACTATAAATTAAATTATTATTAACTGGATTTGGATTTCAAATTATAATTTTATTGGCTTTAATATAGACATAGACCAAGTTTATATTATTATAATTCTAAATTTCATGCTTTCCACAAACTTCTAAATTCTATAAATGTCATGGTTTTTAGAAATTTGAATAAAAATTGTTTAGTGACGTCAGAGAAAGTTATAGTCATTTTAGTATTTTTAATTAAGTTCTAATAAGTACTGTTTAAAATGTATAGGAAAATCTGCAGACAGTTATTCGCCAAGACAAAAAAAAAAAATTTTCTGTACAAATAAAATATAATTTTTGATGTAATCAAAATAATGTTTGTACTATTTGAAGATAGCAATAAAAGGGAGTAATCTATCAGGAACACTGAAAAAAAGTTTTGATTTTTCAACAGCATTTGTATTTGATTTTACAAAATCCAACTCTTTCAGTCCTATTTTTTTCAAAAAGAAAGAAAAGGTATTAGCAGATTTTATTATATTTTAATGCAAAGCTGTCACTTCATTCTAAACTTGGGCTGGTTGCAAATCATTTAAATGATGTTTAATTCATTTAAAGTACTCGCATCTCTTTAAAAATCTTCAACTTTGAAGTTGGATGTATCAAATTTTTGATGAATAAAAATGAAAAGTTAAGCACTTCACTTTTTGCTATAAGATTTTTGGATTCTTTACTTTTAGTTTATTAAGTTTTGAAGCTAATTATTTTTGTAATCTTTTTGAACAGTTTGAATGGCTCCTTGTTGATCAATATGAATATATCTACCAAATATATTATATCAATATGAATATATCCACCAAATGAATATATCATCAAAGTAAGTATATTACAATAGGTATTAAAACTATGAGGACATTGGATCAAGTGAGACAGAAAACAAACATGTTTTCTTATTGATAAAGTGCATGTCCTTAAGCCTGTTATGCAACTCTCGAATTAGGGTTGGCATTTGGCAATGCTGACCTTAAAGTGTTTGAGGTTGGCAAAAAACTGCCGACCTCATTTCTATGTTTTATGATAAGACCTTTGTATCAAATTTTTTTAGCTAACCTGATGCCGACCCCTAAAAGATTGAGGTCAGCAAATTAGTGCTCATTTTTTCTAATCCCGAGGGTTGTTTTTATGACTCACATGTTAAACTGATATAATAGCTGAAAAAACTGATGATCAAGGCAATTTTTGATTTACTTTGTCTTGAAATTTTTGGTTCACTCTAGCAGTAAATATTTAGGCCACAAGTGTTTCTTTTTGGATTTTGTTTTACTAAATTGATATAACTCTGTTTTAGGTGTAAAATTTATAAGAATGATTTTGGAAACCAAGCGATGTTATATAAAATAACGCTTATTTGAAAAGCATTTACCTGTTTTAAAATTTCTGTTTTGGAAATAAATGTATAATATGTTTTTATTTAATCTTAAAACTACTAAAGTGAGGTTAGGATAATTCCATTTCAAATGACACAGAGATTTTAAAAAATGTCACCCTATATCTCAAATTTTGCTGATTTTTATACAATTAAAAATACTTAGCAAAATAAGAGTTCTTTGAAAACTTTAGCCTCTGCCTCCAATAAGATCCTGAAATACGACCATTTTACTTTTAACATATGTTCGCCAGGCTCCTCTTGTCCCCTAAGAATTGCAACATTTATTTATAGGTTTCAAGTAACATAACTTTGAAAGTATTTGATCTTTTTACTTTAAAATTTGTTTCTGGCTATTTTCAGGGGTGAGGAATCCAATAAAATGATCACAAATGTAAAAAGATGTTGTTAAAAACCTGTATTTATTAATTTAAGTTTAATTTAGTAAATTTTTTATATACCTAATTTTGATGCTCAAGATTTTTTGTGGCCTTAATGATTTCATATATCAAAAAAAATTTTACCCATCATTCTATAATCATTAATCTTTCAGAAAACATAAAGATTTTGATCTGCAAATTTCCATATTTGGAAAATTCCATATTTGGATAATTTCCATATATGGATTTCCATATTTGGATAATTCCATATTTGGATAATGGATAATTTCCATATTTGGATAATGCACGGTCGCCACTTTTTTGTAGCGGAATATTGCAATTAATTTTTCTCTACCTTTCAGACTAGCTGGAGCTCTGAAACTTTCGGCATATCTGTAGTGCCAATGAACATACATGTTAAAATTGTTTCCAGGGCCCAAGACCCTCAGAGGTGGGGAAAAGGCAGTGACTGGGTCATGTGCCCTACTTTTTTAACAGAATCTCACAATAGATTTTTCACTTCTTTCCAGACAAACTTAAGCTCTAAATTCTAGCATTTGAATAGTCTTAATGAATTTTTATTAAAATTGTTATCAGGGCAAAAAAAAGAATCTATGAGGCTTGTTTTTGACCATTCTGTGTTCAAATACCTTTGTTAAAATATTTTAAGTTCCTATCATCGGTATACAAGGGAAATGCACGAAGTCCATTTTTGGCAGTATGGAGTTATTTATACCACTATTTAGTATTTTAAATTCTCTATCGTTTGTTATACCACACAAATTTAATCCATTATTAATGAGTTATTAAAATTAATTATTTTAATTATTACACAAAAACTTATTATTTTGTATTTTTTATGAGAAATGTTTATATTTTGAAACATTTTTTTTTTTTTAGATAAGTCAAGATAAGTTTTTGTATTGCATTTTTAAGTTTTGAAAATATGTCAAAAGCCTTGGTCAAATTGTTAAAATATATTATTTTTTGCGTAATCATATAAAGACATGCGATTGCACGCCTTACTGTGAAAGCCTGTAAATGATCTAATTATTTGGAAAAAAAAGTGTTAAAAAGTTTCAATAAAACTGAATTTTTTTTACTTTGTGTATTTTTAAGTTTCTGAATTGAATAGCAAAAGTATTTTTTTTTATCTATGATATTTTAGCATTGTTTTTTTGTATCATCTACAGACATATCACGCAAGGACATATATTTATCATATTTTTGAAATGGCGAAAGTGCATTGCAAAGATTGCAAAAGAAAGAAGTAAAAGTGAGAGGTCAATCTAAATCTGATATAAAACACTCTTTTTTTATCTGCAGAGAGTTTTGAAAAGGCACTTAAAATTTAATTCAGCATTACCTGCTGATTCAAACAAAAGAAAATACTTTTTGAAAGAAGTTTGTAAATGTGAAAATATGCTACTTTCTAATATGTCAGAATGAGGCCTTTACTGCGTTGGTTTGGACGATGTCAATTGCAAAGTTCTTGATTTTTATATGTGAGAAGATATTGAATAACCACAAACATCTTTGTTAGAGGTGTTCAAATTGCTGCGACAGCAATTGCTAGGTTATATATGTCATGTGTATATAAAGCGACAAAGTGGATATTTTTGTTTATGTTGCCAAAATGTGACAGAAAATGAATTGATTATAAAATTAAAATTGTAATTTCATTTGTAGTACAGTAGCAAAATTTAATATTTTGAATTAACCTTTTTGGTATATTTATACGCTATCATCCATTTATATTTTTAATTCTTCTAAAATCAGAATAATTTCAGTGAAAATTACACCATAATGGAACAAAGTAAAATTCAATCCACAACTAAAAGTATTCACTATTGCAATTTGGAGTAAGCACAATTCACATTCCTATACAATTGTATCCGGTTGTTTACATGATAAATGTCTTGTTTGAATACTGTCTTTTTCATTATTGAACTATTAAGTCATTATCAAAATATTTATAAATTACACTTTTTCACAGATGATCTTTTTATCACAATTTAATAATTCATGTCATGAAGGCCATGAATAATTTACACAAATTATCATCTGCTCTTGTTGAGTTTCATATGGTCATTTTTTATAGTCTTTAAGAATACTTGTATAATTACCTATAAAAAACAAAACACCCGTCACTGATACATTTTCAGAGAAAATAGGGTTCATTTATTAATTATTATTAATTTTTTTTTGCATTTTTTTGTTCAGTGCGTGACTCCATTAAAAAAATTAATTTATTTAATGAAGCAACCCATATCTACCATACTTTGTATAGAAAATATATACATAGATTTCATTTAAATGAAAATCGGAGAATAAAAATTGCATTATTTTCAAAATAATTAATGCAACAGATGCAATGTTCCGTCCGTCCATAAATAACAAACAAATAAATTTTTTTTTTCTTATTTTCCTATTATATAAGTATTAGGAAAAAATATCAAGTACAGCAAAATCAGTTTTAAAAAGCGAAAAGACTTGAAAACGAATAAATGTAAAAAAAAAAAATTTAACAAAAGTAGTCATAGTTCTAGCTTAATTAGCAAATTAGTTTTTTAATTATACGGGTTAATAAAAATCGTGAATAAATTACATATCAAAACTTTCAATTGTTTTTAAATTGTTATAAAATATAGTATGTTTTTTTCCTCAATATGTTTCAAATTTGGTAGCTATAAATAACAAACACCCTAAAAAAAAGAATACAAATGTTGTATAAAAATTTTATGTAAACAAAAAAATTTTTTCCAATTTTTTTTTAAATTACTAATTTTTTTTTAGTTTCTTTAATTAAAATTTGATTTTTTATTACAATTTTGTTTCCTCTTTTTAAATTTTTTTTTTTTTTTTTCTCAGTTGATAAGTTTAGTTTTTTGCTGCAAATTATTAAGGCGTTTAAAAATAACAATATAACAAATAAAATACATATTATATATAAAATTATATTTAAGATTATATATAATTTTATAAATCTAATAACATTCATAATTTTCTAGTTTTCATGAAATTTTTAATTAATATACTTTCGAAACAAAAAAATCATCAGTTTTAATAAAGCAACTAAAAGTTAAAAGCTTTTAATACCACTATAAAATCAATATTAAAGATTTTAGCTAGATTTTAGCTTTAAAAAGAAATTAGCTAGTTTGTTTTTCCGAACTGGAATATCTCTTCAACTCATTAAATCTGAAGCTTTTAAGGATTTGATCAAAGCACTTAATTTATTGTATGCATCATCAGCAGGCCTTTTTGTAAGAGGCATGTGATTGACCACGCATAAAGTTCTTTGTTTTAACAACTTGACCACGGCTCTTTGCAAGTTTTGATAATTATTGCGTTTAAAAATGCTCTGAAAAAAAACAAAGCAAATTAAAATTAAAATAATCAATCCATAAACTGAAAAGAGAATAAAATCCTTAAAATAATATATAATACAAAAATTAACCTAAAAAAAAATAAAATATTTAAAGAATGATAAAATAAATAAAGGTAAAACCAGAAAAAAAAAATCAAAACATTTAATAATTAATGTAAACTTAGTTGTAAACGAAAGTCAAAAAAAAAATTATCACAGCTCTAATAACCTTTATCATTCCTTCCCACGAATAATTAGGCTAATACAAGAGCAAATCCATTGTGAAGGAAAGGGTCCCCCTCCCCTCAGATTTTATATTTATATTTTTAGAAATTGATGTTTAAAAACGTAAGTAACTTAGGCTGTTTAAAAGTGTTGTGATATTTAATAAAATTTTTTGGTGCAAATTTAAAATTTTGTTAAAAAATTATTAGGATACAGGATGCGACAAATTGACAAAAGTGTGCGGATTTCTTAAAAGACAGACAGAAAAACAAACATCACGTTTCTTTAATTTTGCTTATGCAAACGTTGCAGTTTGATTAGGATTTTTCAAAAAGAACATATCACTTCAGCAATTTTTTTCAAAATAATTTTGCGATCATTAGTTTTTTATTTATTATAAAAACACATATTTAGTATGAAAAAAATTAATTTCACAGACTTATATTAATGCCAAAATATAAGTACTTTTTTCAATAGCGTTACTTTTAAGTAAAATAGCTAAATACGCTTTAGTAAAAAGTAATTATGTTTTAGCATGGTTTTTGCATGCACTCACAAATGCATACATAATTTTACTTAAAATGAATGCTTTTGCCAAAACTTCAAAAGAAACCATGCTCAAACATTTCGATTGCTTTCTTTTATTGAGAAAAGCGATCATAACATTTAATGATGGTTTCTTTTATGTTTTTGCAATTACATTAAAAGTTAAAAGTAAATGTATTAATTATAAATAAAATTTAACATGCTTTTTAAAAATTTTTTTTTCCATAAGGTGAAATAATGTTTGTTTGCATATTAAAACTTTTGCACTTTTAAAAAAATTTTTATTGTGCATTTATCATTAATTTGCGCGCACTTTGCAAATGTGTAAAAAAAAGTTTTTGAAAAATAAAAATAAAATAAATTTACCAAGCATCTTTGATATATTTAATAACCTATTAACTAGAATAAAAATTATTTGAATTTTATTTGACATAAATCTCTTAAATTAGACGTTCATCAATAAATAAAGTCAACGTTCACGCCCTGGGATAAAAAATAGTTGGCAGAAGCGATTGTTTCAAGATATTTGTAATTCCTTTTTTTTAGTAAATAATTAGAAATTTCTTAATTAGAAATTATATTTCCATGATAAAATGGTTTGTATTTATTTTTTGAACTCATTTTGCCTTAAACCCTAATATGAATATTTTTTTCAATAATTGCCTTTAATTAAGTTACATTAAAGTACTCAGAAAAGTTTGTGGGAGTTTAATTGTAAATATGGAATCAATTAAATTAAAAATCGCATTTGTTTGTTTTTTTAGCGCATTTTTTAAACGCGGTAATTATCAAAACTTGCAAAGAACCGTGGTCAAGTTGTTAAAACAAAGAACTATATGCGTGGTCATATGAGGCGTGCGATCTCTCGTGCTCGGTATTGATGCACGCCTCTTACAAGAAGGCCTGTATCAATACCGTGCGCAAAAGCACTGTCAGGTTTGCTTCTTGATAAAAAGTGCGCAGAATACTCCGCTAAATGGAAAGAAATTCTTAAATCATATCAAAATTTAACCCTTTTCAGTGATGGTTGGTCAAATATTGGTGGTGATCATATAGTAAATATTTGTTTCAAGGCACCAAATACAAAACCATATTTCTATAATTCAATTAACACATCAGGCATAATTTAAAATGCTGCTGCTGTTGCCATCATTGAAGTAATTGAGACTCTTTGGCCCATAAAGGTTCAGAAACATAATCACTGACAATGCTCCAGTAATGAAAGCTGCTTAGAAATTAATTGAAAAAAAATTTCTACACATCTCGACATATGGCTGTGCAGCACACGGTATGAATCTTCTTGCTAAGGATCAATTTATCAAGTTTGTGAAAAATGATCTCATTGTTAAAGCAAAGTTTGATGAAAAGAGAATTGCAGCAAATATTCCTTGCTCACTCATAATGTCTGTTGATTTGATTCAACTTGCGGATATAGAAAATGCATCTTTGAAAGAAATTGTTCCAAAAACAAATTCGGTCGCTGTTTTGACGCTTAAGGGTTCTATTTTGGTGAAGATAAGACTGACATAATCAATTCCATTTCAAAAACCTCCAAAACAAATTCAACAATTGCTGAGACAGTTAAAAGTGATATAATTAATTTTGTTTGATAAATGACAGAAGAAAGAAAAGAGACAATTTTTAAATAAGCGCAAAGAATTATTGGAACATTGTTGGTTGTGAGAAATATCCAGCAGTCTTTAAAGTTGCAAAATATATTGTTAAAATGATTTTTTTTCAGCAACAGCATAGAAAACTTGGTCGAATATCTGGTTTATTCATTCACGGTTGAGAGATCGCTTGACAAACGAACGCATATAAATTAGTATTCATATATACCAATATTGTATTGTTGAATACAAATGACAAAAGTACAATACAAAACAGAAAATTAAATAAAAAATTACTTCTTTTAATTTAAAGTCGCCTGCATTTGATTTAAAAAACATTTTCTTCTTATTTGACAATATTTATCTAATTTCACATACATCTGTCAAGTTTGTATGCACATCATATGCATATTATGCGCATAACTTATGAATGGTATGCGCATATATTCGTCAATATGCGCATAAGTTCCGAACGCTAGAAAAAACATTTTGTTTTGAAATTTGAAACATTTTCCGTAATATTTACAAAACAGTTCTGTTACGAATGATGCAAATGACAGAATAATAAATTTAACAAAAACTATAACTTAAAACTATAACTGAGAATATAGATTAAATATAACTTAACCAAGAGTCATTTTAATACATTTGTCATTGGCGCAACCAAACCTTAATTTATTTAGAAAATTTTATTATTTTTTTATTAAATATGATTGCAATATGTTCATATACTAAATTAAAAATTTAATAAAGTTATAAAGCATAAGTTATAAAATTTAATAAAGTTAATAAAGGTAAAGTTCGTAACAAACTTTATTAAGTTTATTTTTGTAATAAAAAAAAGTTTTGTTATTGTAAAGCAGAAAAAAATAATTTTTAAATCCATGAGTTGCATGCTAACTTAAAAGAATTTGTCACAAAGTAGTTATAAAAAAAAAGTAAAAAAAAGCTAAATGGATATTCTTAAGTTAAAGTTATACAAAAATAAGCCCTTTGTGCGCAAACATGTTTTATAGTAAATGTTGACTTTATTCTAAAGCCAACTATCAAGGGGAACAAAAGAGGCCCAGTCAATATCTGCTAAAAATAAAATGGTCATATTTTAGGATATTCTTGGAGCCATAAACTAAGGTTTTCAAGGAGTTCTAAAAATAAAATGGTCATATTTTAGGATATTCTTGGAGCCATAAACTAAGGTTTTCAAGGAGCATTAAAAATTTTTGCTTTAATTAAGAAGCAGAACATTTTTTTTTATTTGAAAAATAAAATTTTTTTTAGTTGAAAATACTGAAATAACAAAACGGCCTCAGACGTAGCTAAGTGTTTTAAAGAAATTTATTTACAAATACTTTGAGCTATTTGAAGTTTTTACTTTAATTGTATTGTTTTGCATAAGGTGTACACCATAAACCAAGAATCAAAGTATTTGCTAGTTCAAGGTATACCTCAAGTTGGAGCCAATAAAGAACTTATAGAGCTTTTTTCTTTGTATGGAGAAGTGGAAGAGTAATATTTTATATTATAATAGTCTCAACATTATTAATATTTATTTCTGTCTCAAATGTTTATGTTATTTAATATTTATCTAGTAATTGTGCATGTTTGAGATACCTAAAATATTTGGCTATTTGGTATCTGATTATTTTGCAATTTTTTTTACTATTCAATGTTTGGCAAAATATCTTTATATATTTTTTAAATTTAAATTACTAAAAACAAAGAATAGTGCAAACCCTAACCCTAAACCTAAGTAAGGAAACAGGTCCAACTATTTTTAACTACGTATTGTCAACTTGACCACAATTTTTTTAGATCTTTGAAAACAATTCAAAAATGTGCTGAAATAAAGTATAAGGTAAAAAAGTGAGAAATTGCTTTTAAAGATCCCTATAACATTTTAAAATTATGTTTAAAGTTAAAGTATTGTAAGGTAAACAAGATTCATTATGTTACGTGCAAAATGTATGTTATTTTTATGTAACCATCTACTAATATCTGAGATCAACGTAACCTGTGGTATCTTTTGTTGCATTAATAGATTAGTTATGTATATAATCTATCTATATTATAATTTGTATTGTAGTTTGTTATGACATAAAGCTATTTGCCTTATTGAGGCCCATCTCATAATATTATAAGAAGGTGAACATAAAAATAACAAATAAAGAGAATCTATAAAATATTCTCCGATTTAAAAAAATGTCCAAGGGATCATTCTGTTTTATATCTAGCTATATTATAATATACTGTTTATTTCCTCGACCTTCAAATTTGAAAAAAGTTAATATTTATAATATAATTAATTTAGGTCGCTTATGAGTTTCATTTAAAAAAGATTATTTTTTTTACTTTTTAATTTATAAACTATAACCAAATAAAATGCAATTTAACCTTATAAAATCTGAATATGCGACATAATTAAAGTACCTCTCAAATATTCATTAAAACCTTATATTATGTCTTAGTTTATACTTTTTAAAAGTGCACAATTATAAGTTAAAAAAAACAACAAATATTGTTTTTTTTTTAAACTTATAACAGTGCACAAAAATTAGTGCCAATTTTTTTTATTACATATTTGTCATAAAAAAAGTTTCCATTCCCAAATTCTCAATTAATTGAAACTCTGCATAACAAATGGAAATGAATCCATTTTACAAAAAAAATAAAGGATGATAATTAGCTAATTATCATCACTTATTAAAAAAAAAACAATTTAATATTTCTTAGTTACAATTATCTTGACAAACGCTGAATACCATAACTCATTAATTAGTTATGGTATTTAACAAGCTCATTTTATTAACAATATTCTAAATGCATTAACTAACCCACAATCTAATTATTTGTTTTATAACTTTTTAAGTGTAATGTGTCTATAGGTTATGTTGCATAAATAATTTAAAACTTTATATGTAATTAAAATATGTCACAAGTATAAATTTTATATTTCTCAAATCTAGATTTAGTTACGTTATGTTCCGCCTTAATTGGTTACATTTTAAAAAGTTAAAAAAAACTATTGAATCCATAAATTTGATAGTCGAAAGCATAATAAAGTTATTTTTTTAAATGCTTTGTAAACTTTCTAATAAGATGTTTTTAAGAACATATAATGTAACTACATGCTCTTTTTAAGTTTTAAAGTTTTTAAATGCTATTAATAACATTATCATAGAATATTAAATAATATTTTTATTTATTTTAAAAGTATTTTTTTTTTAATGATGAATAGAAATGATTTAAAACAATTTGTATGGTTAATTTTATAAACAACCATGACAACAAATGTATTTCAATAAACTTATCATTTCTCCAGCAATTGCAATCATAAAGTCTGCCAGCAACCTCCATTCAGTTTATGTAATGAATTAATTTGCATAAATACCATGCAAGATAACCCATGGGATTAGAACCTACTTCATAGGAGTTCATAATTTTCTATGAAATACTGCATAATTATCTTTTAAAGTTATCCACTTTTTAAAAAGAATGTTCAATTATATTTTTAAAAAAATGTTATAAGCATTGCAAATAAAACAAAAAAAGTTCAGAAAAATTAGTAAACACTATTTATAGTTATTTTTTTATGTTATGTTTTTTGAAGCAACTATTATTGAATGTATAGATTAGAATTGAATTGATAAGTGCTTGACACTAAATTCTAATCTATACATTCAACTTATTAGAGTTGTTAGTATTTTTGTCCGATTTGCAAACAGGGACTTTTTGTTCTTATATTCAAAATTTAGATGTTACATGTATCAACAAGCAGATTATCTGTTTGGTAATCCACAAAATACTAATGCAATTAAGTAATACCATAAAAATTTTTATTAAGTTCCTGGTCAAAATAATGTTTTTTAAGAACGAGTTAAATCTATAACTGAAGGGGGAAGCAAAAAAGATTCAAATAGGTAGTTTGGAGATTGTCTATAAATTTGATACTTACACTTAATATCAAGGCAAGAAACAAATAGTTTACCTTAATCATGATTTTGTTTTGATTACTTCATGATATATATATATATATATATATATATATATATATATATATATATATATATATATATATATATATATATATATATATATATATATATATATATATATATATATATATATATAAAGCATCGGTGCTACTTACACAGACAATTTTTACAAAGTTATAACTTGTTTTTAAGACTAGAATGTTGTTTGAACTACAAGCTGTAGAAGGGCTTAATTGAGAAATGACTTTAGCAATGGAAACCGGAGTGATTTAAATGTCTAATAATGACTTATTTTGTTTAATTGGAATGACAGGAACAGTATGGATATTAGATTCAAGAGTTGACATAGAGAAAAAGCTCTTTGCATCTTTTTCTCTTTTTTTTTCTGCCTTATTTTTGGGAGAGTAATAAGATCAGCCGCATGAATTTAATAGCTTCAATAGCGTCATTAACTCTTGTTAATGATGCTATTGAAGGTTTACCAAATCTCTCTAAAGTCTAACTTCTGAGATAAGAAATAAGATTTAGCCAACTGAGAATAATGGAGCTTATCACCAGACAACACCTTTTAACATCCCAGTCAGTTTTAGAGTAGTAGTAATGTGAATATAGGGTGAGTCTAAAGAAGAAAAATGAGATAAAGTTTTAGAGATCATTGCATGGTCAGAACCACAAAAGAGAACATGAAAAAATTGAACACAAACTAGGGTCAGAGACACAATTTATTGTTATGGTTATCTGTAAAAAGAGTCACAAAGTTCGATTAGCACTAACATGCTTAGTAGTGTCAGAGCCGAGCTATTTATTGTGAATACGGCCCATGCGTAAGAGAATGAGAAATGTAGAAGTTGTAGGCTTTAGTGCCAGCAGGGTCAGTGAGGTTAAAGCAAAACTATTTAGTGTGATATGCATTAAAAACACTATTAGCAATAATATTGGCAGAAGGATAAGAGAAAGAGCTGGGTCAATTTAATCAGAAATTACATCTAAAAGAGTGCAGTGTTGAGTAGAAGGAGAATGACAAGGAAGAAAGAGAAAGGTGATGAGTGGAGAGGTGTTAACTATTCAATTGAAATCATGAGAAAAAATAACTCCATTAAATCATGAAGAAAAAAAGTGTGTTAAGTATTACTCACAAAAAAAGTTAAGTTTTTAAGCTTGTTATTTTTGTAATCACTTAGAACAGTTAGAGAAGTGTGTTAAATAGTTTCCTATTAAGCAGGTATTAAATTGTTAGAAAAATCATGATCAGTTTGAGGCAATGGCATAATTTAAGTATTTCAAGCCAAGGATTGTAAACATTTAAGTAATTAAATAACTAGATAAATAACAAAACAATAAGCCATGACTGAATAATCACTCTTATTTATAAACTTTAACATTTTTATAAATTAAACAAAATATGCCATAACTGAACAACAAGTTGTAAATTAAAATATTATTATACATCTAAAAAAAACAAAACAACAATGGCATAATTTAAGTATTTCAAGCCAAGGATTGTAAACATTTGAGTAATTAAATAACTAGATAAATAACAACATTTTTTTCAAACAAGTTTCACCCAAATCAATACTAGTCTACACAGTTATTCCTTAAGTTACTTTCTTTGCCATTTCCAGATTTTCCGATAGAAACACTAACATATCAACATGTTCCTGACTCAGTCTTGAGCGTCTTGGGCTAACAATGTACCCTGCAGTACTGAACACTCTTTCAGATGAATAGCTAGATGCAGCAATGCAAAGGTACTTCCTGGCAAACTCTGATAGTTGAGGTAGAGTACCCATATTTGTTTTCCACCAGATAAGTGGATCATCCTCAGCACTGACCTCAGGCATCTGATCGTACACCAAGAATTCACCATTTATCTCGTCACTTGCAGAAAGAGGTGCTTGACTTGAGGATGCTGGCTCTCCTTTTTTTTTCTTTTCCCCTTGAATGGTGGAAAGCAGAAACTTTAGGTGATTTTTGGATTTTTTTTTGATGGCCTGACTTCTTTACTTGACAATCCTCCAGACACCCGAGATGCAGTTCCTTCTTTTTCATTGCCCATTTTTTTCACCTCATCCAGGAGACTTTGCTTCACATCATCCTTTAGAGAGACAAAGCTGTTCTTAAATCGTGGATCAAGGTAGGTTGCAGTGTTCAAAAGAAACCGAAGCTGCAGGTCATCATAGCAATGCTGAAGATACTCGTGTATCTTTTCCTTCATCTCTTTGGCTAATGCAGAGTCACTTTGTTCATGACTGGACACTCAAATATCTTCCAGAGTAACAGCAAGACTGAAGACAGGGTGGTATGTATTTCCCCGCTAAGTGCATCAGTAAAAGGACTGAGTGGCTCAAGAACTGCTTTAACAGTTTCTAAAACTGTAATATCTGAGTCTTTTGGCATCAGATGCCATTTTTTCCTGTCTTCAGCCAGGACAGCACAGACAACCTGCTGCTGCTCCAAGAAACGTTCCACCATATCGTATGAAGAATTCCAGCGAGTGGGTTCATCATGAATGAG